CGTTAGGGGTCTAGGGTTTAGGGATTTAGGGGTTATAAGGTTTTGGGGTTATAAGGGTTAGGGCTGCGATATTCGTTGTCTCTTTGTGCACTGTTGAATAAGCCCCTTCCACAAGGCAGATACACGGGAGTGGTTAAGGTTACAAGTTCCCTCGTTGGGGTTATATGTAATGATTACTATAGTTTCCTTAATTAAAGTCCCCTGATCCTCCGTGTATCGAAACCGCCACGCCCTTTAGTCTGACCAAAACGCGCCCAAGGAAACTACAATTGCGTTCCGTCAGGCCATCCTGCTCCAACCACGCCGCGTACATCAGACCTGAGAACCACTCCAACGAGAATCCATCGGGGAGAGAAACTTTAACCCTAAACCGAACGGCCCATCGTCCTCGCACGTCGGGCCCAAGAGGAAGTGTCCCGGCTGGTGGCGGCGTCGGACGTGACTGATTGCGTGTACTTCCTCGAAGTCGTGTCGCTCACCCCGAATCGTGAAGTCTGAGTGCACATTCACCGTCGACTTAGGAGTCAGAAGAGAACCGGCCCGGAGCTATAGACAGCTCGAGTTCCATAGCAAATGTCAGTCTTCCGCTTTGTGCTCAAAAGACACAGCTCAGGCTGCATGGTGCAGGGACTTTCTTTCAGTCTGTGACCGACCAACATCAGTTCCCTCGCGACCGACTATTTGGGGTTTCTCATTTGGAGTTTATTGAAGAGTCCAGATCTCCCATCCCATCATTAGTCAATATTGGTTGCAGCATCTCCCTGGGGGCAGGCTGCAACAGATATGCTGAGGATTTAGGATTTAAGGGTTGGGAATCAAGGTTTCGAGTAGGGTTTAGGGTTAGGGTTCAGGATCGAAGCCCTAGAGATGGATGTTTTTTTTCAAAGGGATGTGGGGCTTAAAGTTGTTATGGTGCGGGGCTTTTTGTGGTTTGACGTATCTTTACTGGGCTGCTAGGAGGGTCGGGGGGCTGAGTAAGTAGTTATTCAATACAGATAGGGGTACGATAACCCAGACTAGGATCCGACTCTACTTCTTACTTACAGTAGAAGCTCAAAAGTTGGAAACCCAATAGCCTCATTAGCAGATCAAAACCCTGCACGCGAAGCTGTAAACCCAAAGCTTTAAGCTCTGAGCCCTGAAACCCCAAACCCTAAACCCTTTTAGTGCCCTCATAGATCCCTTAAAAAAAAGCCTTATAGATCCCTTCTAAGAACCCCACCTTAAAGCCCTCGCCCCGAGGTCGGAACGATCTTCGTGAACTCCATCAGTAACCTCCTTGCCACCAGTGGCATGAGCGCGAAGCTCCAGGTGCAGTTTATCTCAAAGACGCCTACACCCTCAACCCCAAGCCCTAAATCCTAAACCCCAAACCCTAAACCCTAAACACCGAAACCCTTAAACCCCTCAGCCCTAAACCTTCAAATGATACTAGGGTTTAGGGCTTCGGGTTTGCTGGTATATCTGAGGGTTGCTCGTACTACTGCTGCTGGTGCTATTCTACCACTGCCAAGGAGCAACGTTTTAAACATATTGAAAGTACCATCATCACCAATTTCTACTGCGATCTACAAGACGACAGCGATTGCACGACCCTGAACCCGAATTGCAATGGTATTTCCGAATCTTAAGCCGTTGTCAGGCGCTTAGGGGTGTAAGGGTAATACACCCCCTAACACCCTGTTCCATTGATTGAAGCCGACATAACATGCGACAAGAAAAAATACCGTAAGCCTGCAAACCTGTTCAAAGACGATATATAAAACACGCCGCAAAATAATATCACAACTAGCAGACTAGCAAGTTCTAAGTTACCATGTCGAGAAACAAGCACATACAAGCCCCTGAAACCTAAACCCCAATACCCTAGACGCTTACCCCAGCACAACAACAAGACATTCCAACAGCATCGCGGGCCTCAGAAGGTGGGGGATAAAGTTAGGTAAATCTGGGATTAAGGATCCGAGGACTCCAATCTGGGACGAACCCACCTACCTTCATCCCACCCTTGGATAAGCCCTAAACCCTAAACTAAACCATATATATATATATATTTCCTGAAATCCCAAGCTCCAAACTTACATTCCTAAACCCCAAAACCTAAAAACTGTATTCCTAAGCCCCGAACCCTAAAACGTACAATCTTAAACCCCAAGCCCTAAAACCTATTACCTAAACCCCAAAACCTAAAACCGACATGCCTAAACCCCAAGCTCTGAAACCCTTCATTCCCAAACACTAAACCCCAAACCCCAAAACCTACGTTCCTAAATCCCAAACCCTAAAAAGTGCATTCCTAAACTTTGAAGCCGACATTCCTAACACCAAACCCTAAAACGTACGTTCCTAACCCCCAAACTCTAAAACCTATATTCTTAAACCCCGAACCCTAAGACGTTCATTCCTAAACCCTTGCAAGCCCCCAAACCTACACTCCTAAACCCCAAACCCTACAACCTACATTCCTGAACCCCAAACCCTAAAACATGCATTCCTAAACCCGCAAAGCCCTAAAACCTACATTCCTAAACCCCAAAACCCTACAACCTACATTCCTAAACCCAAGACCCTAAAACCTACATTCCTTAACCCCCAACCCTAAAACGTGCATTGCTAAACCCCGAAACCCTAAAACCTACATTCCTAAATCCCAACCTTTAAAACGTACATTCCTAAATCCCAACCTTTAAAACGTACATTCCTAAATCCCAAATTTTTAAAACGTACCCCTAAACCCTAAACCCTAAACCCTAAACCCTAAACCCTAAACCCTAAACCCTAAACCCTAAACGTACATTAAAAGAGAAGACGCAGGTGAAGCCCTTGGAGGCCGTTCAGCGGGTGCTCGGTGGCTTTGTGCGGGCCTTGCTACGGTTTAGGGTTTAGGGTTTAGGGTTTAGGGTTTAGGGTTTAGTGCTTGGGTCTTTTCGGCCATAGGGCTCCAGGGTTTTTAGGGCTTTGGCGGGTTTGGGGGTTGATAGGGTTTCGGGTTCTGGGGGGTTTAGGGTTTCAGGGCTTTGTTGGTTCAGGGTTCAGGGTTTACTGACAGGGGTTTTTTAGGTAGGCTTGGCTTTTCTGGAGGAGCTGCATCATCAGGTTTATGCAAAGGTGTGGTAAGGTTTCATTCGTATTCTGTAGTTGGTATTAGGCAAACCCTAAACCCTTAACCCTAAACCCTAAACCGTAGGTTGTTGGTTTGTTTTGTGAGCTGCAGGGCTGTAGGGTTCTAGGACTTTAAGGCTAGGCTTCGATCCCAAGATGTAGAGTTTAGGGCTTTAGGATTCTTGGAGCTTATTCGTTTTGGGGTTCAGGGTTTAGGGATTACGGCTTAGGATTCTTCGGGTTGAGGGTTTAGGCCTGAAGTACGCCAGACTTTGAGAAACCCTGAGCCTTCTGAACCCTGAGCTCTAGTGGTGTCCGCTTGGTGCCCATGAACTACCCTAAACTTCAAGCCTTATAAGCCCGAAACCCTAAACCCTAAAACCTAAAACCTAAAACCCTAAAGCCCTAAACTGTGACGTGGGGTCCGCTTGGTGCACATGAGCTGGGGGATCAAGAGAGTTAGTGATTGCTTTTACTTGGAGGATCCTTGAGTTAGCAGCGAGGGTTGTGCATAAGGCAACCATAAAAAAAAACAAAACGAATGGAGGGGCCCATAATAATTAGAATAGGGTTTGGGTCTAATTACTAAGGCCCTTACATTACGTAAATCTTAGTAAGGGTGCTGATTACCTTACTTCCTAAGTTGCATGATCCTTCAAGGGGACCCCTGCCGGAACTGGATAGCCTTGTTGTGCCCCTACTTATGACTCTACTTGCTAATTTACTAAGTGTCTTGATCCTCCAAGCCCGTGAAGGGGCAATCGACAGTCGATTTCGTCGAATCCCTCAAGGTAGGACCCCAGCTACCAGGGTAGCGTTTTCAGCCTACATACCATCAGTGTTGAATCAGTGTTGTCATCATGACTACCATTGTTGTTGCTGTTGCTAAGTTGCTACTGCTAGTACTGTTATGTTGCTACCACTACGTTCTTTCAGGGGAATAGCACGGCCAACGGTCACATCTCCGTTGCTACCACATCAGCTGCCATCAGAGCTCCGGCAAACATGGTCGGAATGTGGCAAGGCATGAGGGTGTAGCAGTAGCATAGCTTCCATTACGAGGATGTTATTGGCTTTGTGGCTGTGACAAGCAATGAAACATACAGCAGCACGAAATCTGGAAATCTAAAAGCCGCAAACCCGCAAGCAAAAAAACGTTCAAGCCCTTTTGTACCCTTCCAGACACTTGTAGTAACCCTTTTAGTATCTGCTGCCGAACCCTACAACACCCTGTGGGCATTGCAGGTCTTGAGCAATAAGCTTTGAAGGCCTGGGCATTCGTGTGCGAAGATCAACGCCGAAACACCACGGCGTTTATGCCCTGTTGGTTGATGTAGGGGCCAAAATAACTACCCATACTATTTTGGGGGTTCCATGTTATAATTTTGGTATAATGGCCCTCAAATCCCTATTCTACTCGCTAAGGCCCCTATATTGCTGGGTTGAGGGAGTTGAATTTTGGGGCTTAGGGTATGTAACATATTGCTCCCGAACTGATATGCGCCCAGGAACTGGCAATGGGTGAAATCCGACTGGGTTCACTGCAGTGCGCCCACTGTGCAGGTTGGGGATTATACCAAGGCCTTATAACACCCAAAAGACACAATCAAACATGAAATCTTAACAAACTCCGTAGAAGCCTATAAGCCATATACAGTGCATAGAGACATGAGTAGCTCAGTATAAGAGAAAAAACAAACAGCAAATTCACACATAAACATACATGACCCCTTAGACTGTACACAGTGCTTTACTTTAGGGTTACCTGTTGTCGGTGACAGTCCCTCGGGTTGCGGGTTTTAACTTTTTTTTTGGGCTTTGGGGTTTAGGGGCTAAGCACCCTAAACCCTAAACCTGTATGCATGTCTATGTTTGTCATCACGTTATGTCCCCGGACCCTTTGAGTAGCATCCCGAGCCCCAACACAAACTTCAGCCAAACACCTTGGAAGATGGCGTGCACAGCCCAAAACCGCGAGGGCCTAGGCGCTCAGCCCTGAGCCCAAAACGCAAAACGCACCCTAAACCCTAAACCCGAAACCCTTAACCTTAAACCAAAAGCCCTAAACCCCGAAACCGGAGAGGTATGGGCAGTCGACTGACGTCTTGCTGCAGACAGACCCTGAGGTAACGTCCTCTGGGGCCGTGCTTTTCCGGGATCTCAAAGAGGTTTAGGGCTTTAAGGTCAAGGGTATAGAGTTTAGGCTTCAGGGTTTAGGGTTTAGGGTTTAGGGTTTAAGGTCAAGGGTATAGAGTTTAGGCTTTAGGCTTTAGGGTTTACTGTTTCCAGCTCGGATTTGGGGGTGAGGGTTTGAGCTTGTTGAAGGAGTGGGCATACGGCATGCATCCGGCTTGTTCAGGCCGGCCGAAATAAATGGGTGGTTGTCAAAATTATGGTCCCTTTTTGGGTCCTTACTATAATACGGCACCTATTATTTAGGGTACCCCAAAAGGGACCATAATTTTGACAACTACCCATATAAAAGCTATTCCTCAGGGTTCCTGTGGTTCTACCGCTATGTACCTTAGAATCCCGTTCTACTTACTGAGGCCACCACATGTTAGGCTTTAGAAGGTGTTGCAGCCCGTAGGGTTGAAGATATTATAGAAGTCGGGTTTAGGGTTTAGGGTTTAGGGTTTAGGGTTTAGGGTTTAGGGTTTAGGGTTTAGGGTTTAGGGTTTAGGGTTTAGGGCGATTATTGCCACTTTTTCCTAGGGTTCCTGTTATGATCATACTTGAACATATCTCCAAAAAAACCAGGTCTGTTTCGCCCAATATATGCCTCTCTAAAGGGTTCCGATGAAAGAGCTACGATGTATCTCCGTCTTTTGTTTTCCGGATGGACAGCCTTGGTCTCCTCCAGGTTTAGGGTCTCGGGTTCAAAGTTTAGGGCGTAGCGTTCGGGGTTTCGGGTTTAGGGATGTGAAATGGAAACTCCCGAAGGACGCCTTGTCTTGACCAGTGTAGTAGGAGCATGTGTTTTTTGTTTTTTGTCGGAGGGGTGCATGTGTGTGTGTGTGTGTGCGTGTGCGTGTGCGTGTGCGTGTGTGTGTGTGTGTGTGTGCGTGAGAGTGTGAGAGAGTCTGTGTGTGTGTGTGTGCGCGTGCGCTTGTGCTTTTTGGATCCTGTCCATTTTATCCCTTCGTTAAGGAACTAGTCCCAGGACTATGCTTCTTGCTGGGATTAACTACATTTCTTGAGATACATGGGCTGTCTCCTTTGGTTTAAGGATTTCTCCTTGAACTATGTAATGTAGGGGCCTAAATAGTCACCAATGCCATTTTGGGAGTTGATTATTATAAAGATAGTCGAACAGACCCCAAAGCCCTATTCTAATTAATAAGGCCCCTACAGTAGGGGGTTCTTGTTTAGAGTTAAGTGTTTGCCTTGACGAAGGGGCATTGAACTCCTTGTGTTGGCTTTGGAGAACGCTGAACATGACCGCGGATTCCTGGGTTTAGCGTTTAGGGTTTAGGGGTTGAAGGGTTTAGGGGTTTCGGGGTTTGGGGTTTGGGGGTTTGCGGTTTAGGGTGTAGCGTTTAGGGTTTTCTTCTTGTCGCCAAGCGGCGGAGCACCTCAACCCAGCATCCCATGAGCAGACTCACAGCACGGAGTGTTTTACCCTCCCTCCACCGCAAACGCAAAGCCCATATGCCGTATGCACAAACCCTAAACCCGAAGCCAACACCACAAAAGCCATAGAAACTGATACTACGATCACCCCCCAAAAAGCCTTTACGACACCCGACAAGATCTACCCTAGTACAAGCCCGATCCTTTGAATACACTATAACATTTTACGGTTTAGAGTTCTTGGGTTTTAGGTTTACGGGTTTAGAGTTTAGGGTTTAGGGTTTAGGCCCTATAGCTCTTGAATACCCCATATAAACGACCGACAAATGCAGCATGCCGCATCAAATCCCCTATTGGATGCCAGACAAAACCTTTGACGCCATCAAAATATGCCCTTCCATCAGGAGCCCGCTGAGCCCCAAAAGGGTTTAGGGTTTAGGGTTTAGGGTTTAGGGTTTAGGCCCTAAACCGCTAAGCCCTATAAACCCTAAACCGCTAAGCCCCAAACCCCACACCATTCAAACGGGGAGAGGCAGCGCCGCTCGAGATACAGCTCCAAGTGCAGTCCCTGAGCCCGGGGCCAACCTTTCTTGGAGGTTCATGGGACTTCGTAAGTTATAAGGTTAGACGCACCTTACTTGGAGGTAGAGGTAATTTTAAACGCTTCGCATCGTCCGCCTCGGCCCGGCCGCAAACAAAGAGAGCCAAGGAACTGCCGGTGCCTTGAAGGCGCCGTTGGCAGAGCGGACAAGGACCGGGAACCCCTAAACCCTAAACCCTAAACCCTAAACCCTAAACCCTAAACCCTAAACCCTAAACCGATTGCGTACAAAGGAAACGCAGGGCGAACGGGCAGGGAGGAGGGGGGGGCGGGGCCGGGGCCCGGGGTAC